CGGGAGCCGGGAGCCCTGCAGGAGCGTGTGCACGGCACCCAGCGATGGCCAGCTCCTCGGCACGGCCCGCTGCGCTGCAAGGGGACAAGAGGGAGGCACAAGGGGCCTCCAGGCAGACACGGCCAGAAGGACCCACAGCCTGGACTGACAGCAGGAGGCAGCCCCAGAGGATTGCTCTGCAGCTCAGTACCTTTGAAAAAATAAAACTTGCCGCTGAGCTCGGACCAGGCAGCGGCGTCGATGCCGGGGGGGAGGCCGGGCCAGCGGGGCTCGCTGGCATTACCGCTCACCGACACCAGCCAGTAGTGGTTGCCTTTGAAGATGTACAGGTTGTGATCCACATCTGTGCAAAACAGAGGAAGAGAGGTGAGAAACCTCCACCACCTCCATGGCCACTTCTATCCGAGTGGTGCCAGGCACCAGCTGGAGGTGCCCAGTCCCCCCATAGCTGGCCACCCACCCCTTCTGTTCCCCTGCATCAACGCCATCCTCTCCCACCACCGGCATTTCACGCACAGGGCATTTTTCCACCAATATGACAAAGTTGCTTCTACCTTTCCAGCTGCCCCCTTCAGGCCACCATGATTCATTTCCTCCCCTCCAGTCTGGAGAGGATGGCAGATGATCACAGCCCCCTCTCAAAGCTCGTCCTTCATGCCTGAGCTTGGGCACTGAGCAAGCCTTGCCACAGTCCAATCTGGAGGATGTTTTTCTCACTCCTAGCACACCAAGCTATGGCTGTGTCCTCAGGACGCACTTAGCTTTGTCAGCAGCAAGGAGCATCAGTGATGCCACCAGCCCTGGGAGCGCCAACAGAGCTGTGGACCAGACGGACCTGCCTTTTCCACTGCTGGATCTCCTCAGCAATCAGGCATAGAGCAGAAACAGGCTGCTGCAGTGCTCGGGGCAGGAACGTGCGTTCTGGGAGAGGGCTGTGCTGGCAAACACCTACCGGCAGTTATGGCATCGAAGAAGGAGTGGCAGTAATAGGCACTGAGGCTCTGCCACTGCTGGCCCCCATTGAAAAGATCTGCGCTCCAGTCCTGGAAGTGAGTAAACACCTTTCCGGGGAGCTGGACGGCCGAGCCCTTGGAAGGCTTCCCTGGGGTACAGCAAGGAGCGGTGAGTCACAGAGTAGGGCCATGGAAATGGCTTTCCCCAAAGCACTGGTGGAACACAAGGCTGGCGACTCGTCAGAAGGCACCAAACACTTTCTTGACCCACAGTCTGATTTCTATCCCCTTCTGCAAGGTGGTGGGCAAAGACCCCTTGGGACCTCAAAAACCCCAGGCACCGGTGTTCCCCAACTTACAAACAGGCTTCCTCTGCCCTGGAGCACCTGGTGCCCATCACACTCCCTACAGCGTCCTCCTTGCCAACCACAAGGGACGTGGCTTACATGCTCCCCGTCCCTGCAGCTGGCATCATTTCCCCGCCACGCAGCTTGCACATAGCCCTCGCCCCTTGCATGGACCTGTTGCCATCCCTGCCTTTGGCCCCCTGCTCTCCTTTCTAGGGACGAGCCCAGGAGAGAGGAACCGCAGGGAAGCCACGCTCACCGTATAAGTTCTGGACAGCCAAGATGTCGTCCCAGCTGAGGACAAAATCCTTGCTGAGCTTCTTGTAGTACGGAGACATCAGGGCGCTCTTGACGGGAGAGTGCTCCAGCCCCAGCGTGTGGCCGACCTCGTGCGCGACCACGACGAAGAGGTTGCGGCCCTTGCCGCTGTGCAGAGACCAGCGCTCGTCGTTATCGAAGTGGGCCTCTCCGCGGCGGGGGAAGAAGGCATGAGCCAAGGCACCTCCTGGGGACATGAGAGCCAGTTAGGGACCATGCCGGGGCTGCGGGCAGGGCTGAACCTAGGGCTTAAGCCAAGGGGTTGTGGGGGGCACGTGCAGCTCTGTTTTGCTTAAATACACTCCTAGAGGGAGGCTCAGCGCCCCAAAGGCAGCTGCTCCCTCCCTGCTGCTGCCGGATCGGCTTTCCACCATCCCTCCCAAGCCATTTTTTCCCGAGGGCCCCGACACACATTTTTCCACAGAGCAGCTGGGTTAGTGCTTGCTCTCAACGGCCCCATGGGGGCACCAGCCTGGCTTCGTGAAGGGATACAAACCAGCTAACGTGGCCCACGTTTGAGGCTTAATTAACGCCGGCTCCGCGCAGCGAGGTCCCCTGCCGGCACGGGTCTGATTGAGGGCAGGCACAGCTCTTTTCACAGACCTTTCTGACCATTTGCTGCAATTTTATCTTTTGGGGAGTTGCTGGTACAGCAGAGCAGGCAGGTTTCTCTGGAAGGAATCAGCTCAGGTTCTGAAGACATGATCTGGGTGGGGAGGGCTCTTTGAAGGCCATTAGCATAATGCAATAACGAATGTCCCAAATGCCTCACCAGGAGCCCCTGCATTAGGGGCTGCCAAACTGGGAGTCGGTACCTCGAATTAATAAGCCAATGTCTTACTGCAAACTGGCTCTGGAGGCAGCACTGCGACGCGTCACAGAGCTCTGCAAGACCTGGCACTGGTCATCTGCTCCAGGTAAGGAAAGAGCCTCACCGCTAAGCACACAAGAGAGATCTCAAAGTCCTCTCCTTGCTTCCAAAGGATGGGGGTCTCTCAGCGTGGGACATGGCATGAGCAATTCCCAGGCTAGCTGCTGCCTGGCAAGAAGGATGCTCTTTCTTGGCCATGTCAGCTCCAGTTCTGCCTCTGCTTACCCTGGGTGCGAACTGGGAGGTGTCCTCAGTAAGAGGGCCTGTCAGGGCAGAGCTGTGCCTCCATTGCCCCCAGCCCGTCGCCACCCAAGCCCTCCTCACTGCCTAGAAGAGACCACGTTGTAAAAGAGAAGCTTACGAGGGGGAGCGACCAGCACCTGGTCCATCGAAGGCGTTGTTGAGTCCATCGTTGTGGTCTCCATGGAAGAAGGTCAGGCGGATGTCGGCCGGGCCGTCCCGTGCCTCCCAAAACACCAGCGAGGACACGTTGCTCCAGAGCTCGAAGGCAGCTTTCACCGCCAGGCGCACCTCGTGCTGCGGCAGGTACGAGGGCCAGTTCACGACCCGATAGGTTAAGTGCCGTTTGTACCACTTCCCGCCTGCGAGAGGAAGCAGAGCTCAGTGCAAGGAAAGGGTTTGCTTTGCTCTTCCATCCAGAGACCGCTTGGACCGAGCAAAGCTTGCTCACAAGCCTCAATATCTAGGAACATAAGTGCTGGGAAATGTGACTTTCCAAGCCATAGCTGAAAGAGAAACCCAGGCATCCTGGCAGCAGCCTCCGTCCCCTGCACTGGCAGCAGGATCTGACCCAATAAATCTCTCCGAAGATGCCACCACCGGATCCCACCCCAGAGACTGCTGAGGCTGCAGCTGCAACCAACCCCTTCCTAAGAGGGGTCAAACTCTGCTTGAGGAGGGACGAAGCTGGGGCACACGGTCTGAACTTCCCTTGCCTTGTGCTTTCCAGGGCCAAACCCAACAAGGGCCTCTGACCTGCCGATCTCCTGCCTGAAGCCACCTTCATCCCCAGATGAAAATGCAGCTCAAGGATGGTCTTTACTACCTTTGCCTTTCAGCGAAGAAAAACAAAACCTCCAAAAACAAATAGCCCAAAGGCAAAAGGATTGGGACCGGCTTTTAGCAGCCCCCTTTGCAGGAGGATGGGGCTGCAGTCATGGGGGACACAGGACTGCAGCCCATTTAGAAAAGATTTGCTAAGAACTGCGCACCAGCTGGAGAAGGGAGAAAAGAGATGCTCCTCAAGGGGAAAAACAGACAGGTTTGAAACGCGTTACCAGGAAGGAATGGTGCCGAGCGCCAAAAGAGCAGACGCTGAGGCCAAGCCGGGGGCTGCCCTGGGGCGACAGAAACGCCCTGCGGTGGGGCTGGCAGCGGGCAGAGGACAGCCCACCCTGTGGGCAGGTCTGCTCCCGCAGGGCGGCGGGAGGGTTTGCGTGCGGCTAAGACCAGCGCCAGGGTCATTCAGCCACAGCAGCACTGCTTTCACACCACGCCAAGCCGGAGCAGGCTGGGATTCCCATGGCGCTCCCGAAACAGCGCTGCTCCGCGAGGCGCCTTAAACCTGCGGCAGGAGCTGCAGCACCCGGGCAAGCACCTCTCCTTGGTCAACGCTCGTACTTCTGCGCCATCCGCCCCTGGCCCCAGACCAGCACAACTGCTGCTGCAGGGACCCTGAAATCGGGAGGGACACGAGAGGCGAGGGTTCACCAGCACTCAGCACTCCCTAGGCAGGAGAGCGACTGTCCCCTCTCGCCGCTGAGACCTTTCCTGAATCCCAGCCTTGGTTTTTTTCTAGGGAATCTTATTTTTTCCTTTTTTTCCTGTGCATGCAAATTTAAAAGAATAGCTACTGAGCTAAGGCAAGGAAAACAAGGCCAGCTCTCCAGCGGCTCGTGGTGTATTTTCACGGATTTTAAAAGCACCTTGACAATTTCTGCCTGCAGATGTTCTTGCCGGAAAGCCTAGCCACCGGGGAGAACCCACCCGCTCGCTGTTCGTTTCCAAAGCACCGTTTCACCTGCCCTGGGGACCTTGCTGGCCGTGGCTTCCTTGAAAGCTGTTTCCTTTCGGGGAAGACCCAGCCCCGATGCCACCGGGGCAGTGCCCAAGGGAGCGAGGCCTGGAGATGACCCTAACCCC